CAGGAGAAAAGAGGAGATTTCTGTACACCACTGAGACACAGCACAGCATACGAAAGCAGCAGGGCTGAATCAAAGGTAATGAGTTCCTGTCCAGCCTCTAATTCCTGGATTTGGGATAATCTTCCTGCAGAATCTCTCTGCAGTCTGGCTTCAGATTTCTTTATTTATATTCGGCTCTGTTTATCTCCTGTGAAACGTCTAAAAAGGCTTTTAGGAATAGTTCATTACTAGGAATACCCCACTCTGGTTAAAACTAATCAAAAACATTGAAAGGCACTTCTGTGGTTCCCATCAGCTCCTGCAGAAGAACAGAGCACTGACCCTCCCTCCTTTCCCAAGACCCTGAGTATCAGGACTCTGCCCAATATGGTCTAGCCGTATCTCCCATTTTACAAATTCCAAGTGCCAGTTCTCTGGCTCCTTTCCTGACATCGTTTCTTTCTGCTCCTCTCGTAGAAGGGTGGCACTCTGTGTCTAAGAGATTATCAGCATTAACAAGACAGAGGCTGGTTTGTCTTGTAAGTACCAGCTATGCCCATTAAAGCCAGTGAGGTTCGGGGCATAGCTGAATAAGCAAGATCTCTGGAGGATGTGATAATATACTGACAGCTGCTTGAAGCTACCTGTCTGCTTGCTGAGGCAGGCGTTTCTATGCACACACTGTAACAGGATTTACAGTAATACCTTGACAAAGTTCAGTCATGGAGACTTTTTGATCACTTAACCATTCTGCTGAGAACCCGAGTAGAGCAAATCTGTAAAAGGATATTAGAAATTTAAGTCTAGTCAAACCTCCAGCTCCAAATGGCAGGGCGGCTTCTCCAAACCTTCTACTGCAAGTTTCTTCCCGTTCCACCCATTTCATAAAAAAACTTGGTGAGCCGGGTGGTGTGGCACACGCCTTTAATCCCAGCACTCGGGAGGCAGAGGCAGGTGGATTTCTGTGAGTTCGAGACCAGCCTGGTCTATAAGAGTTAGTTCTGGGACAGCCTCCAAAGCCAGAGAAACCCTGTCTCAAAAAACAAACAACAAAAAATTGGTAATTATCAGTACCAGTAAATACAGGCTACTTTTTTGTTTTGAGGGCATTGGGTCCTCAATTAAAGACCATAAGGTTCTGGGCAACGTATATTCATTTCAGCAAGCAGATTGTTAGTTTGAATGAACTATCAGTTTATCTGGGAATGATACTACATACGTTGGTTGGATAAGGTATAGAGCATTGTTCCCTTCTTTCCCAACTCTTTAAATAAGAGAAAAATTGATTTAAAAATACTTTTGCAAACATTCAGAAACAATCGTCTTTTAAGATATTAGTTTATAATATTACAGGATGTGTCCCAAGTTTTCAATGTTTTGCCAGTGAATGCATGAGCTACACGCTCTCTCATCCAATCTCACATTCTGAGGATGTCTTCTGTACAAAGCACTGTCAACATCCTAGGAACGCAATGCTAAATGACAACACAGTGCTTGCCCTTAAAAACTTGTTCTAATTGAGGTGACAGTTGAACAAACACAAAAGCTGAGCTCTTTTCAGAAAGGGACCTTCCTAGTCACTCTTACATGAAGCAGAAATTGCCAATCTAGCAAGGAAGTGGAGGGCCTATGGGAGTAAAAACTGAAATTTGAATGGTGATAGCGTTTTTTGGGGGGCAGGTGCTGTAAGAAGCACCAAGAGTGTTCTAGAAAAAGGAGTGATATGCACAGAGGTCTAGATGTGAGAGAGAACTTGAGCCGTTTGGGAAACAGAAATTGACAAGGCTGTAACTAAAATGGAAAATGGAGGCAAGGAAGTAGGTAAAAAGTCACAGAAGTCTTCAGGGAAAAACCAAGGTGTTCAGGATTAATTCTAAGAGGAACAGAGAGCTAGTGATGGGGTTTCAAAGAGAGACAAAATGTGTTTCAATGACCTCTTTTAAATACATGGCTAAGTTGTGGTCTCTGAATTATAGGTGATCCTAACAGTGTCCCGCTAGGAAGAGGTGGTATTCTATAGTATGAAATCAAAGGGGGCTTTAAATTAGCATTTTAGCCTTCAAAACACTACAGGAGATTGTTAATCTCATCAAATGGCAGCCCTTGACACGTTTCTCATTCCAGATGAGCACAACACAAGAATTATCCATTAATTTTATGAACTAGTCACCTATATTGGGGGGATCTGAATTTAAGTTTAAGTTCTGACTCTTAGTTCGAGCAGCCAAGTAGATTATCAATAAGCAAACAGCAGCTTACCAAATGACACTGTCTACTGTAAGACAATCACTGACCTAATGAAATAAAACCTCCAAAATTTTTTTCTTGCAAGAACAGCTTGTAGGTAAAGCACAATTGAAGCTGAGGGGCGCCTAAGTCCTCTTCTAAGCTCTCTTTTCCCTTTGTGTTTTTGATCCAATTATTTACTCAGTGTTCCACCAAAAATATTAAAGCCCTTCCTACACGTCAGACACAGGGATACAATAAAGTCCACAGATGTGTCTCCAGCATCATGATTTTACTTACAAGCAGAAATTAAGCAATCAAAGCAGAGTAGTGATTATTAGGAAGAAATGGAGTGGAAAGCAGGGTACCTGGCCAATGTCTTGGTGCAGAGGACACATGAGTCTAGAACAAAAGCTTTTCCAACTGACACTGAAGCTTAATGTTAAGGTGAAGAGAAATTCCTGTACAAAGGCCTGAAGTGACATTTAGAAACAGACCTCCAGCTTGGGTACAGTATAAGGGAGCATGCTAGGAGGCCCAGGGGAGCGCAGCCCCAAAGGTGGGCTTAGTTCCTTGTGTGTGTGTGTGTGTGGGGTTCCTCTTCAGCAGAGTTCATGTGGGGGTGGAATTCTGAAAGCATTTCTGTAATAAACATGAGGTGGAGAATACTGTTTGGCAAAGACTGAGTGTGTTGGCAAGATGAGAAAACCTGCTCTGAATTCTAAGAACATCTAACACCAGTCTTGGGCAATACAAAGCTGAAATGACATGAGTTGTTCTGTACAGGCTGCCTGCTCAGAAAGTTTATTTCTTTGCAATTTTACTTCTGAGGCCCTGGCTGGCCTCGGAGGTGAAGGCACCACGTTACCATCCACGTGTGATTTCATACAGTGCTTCTCTTGTTCATACTCTGTTTCTCCCCCGTTAGGTCCTAGTCTCTCTCTTCTTCAGTGAACATTACAGAAGGATGGACAAGTCAGAAACAGCTCAGAGTAACAATCCCTATCTGCAGTAATAGCCGTGGCGTTCACAAGAATTATGCCCATAACCACTAAGACGTACCCCACCGTATTATCTGCACTTTATATTCTCATGTGCACTTGGCCTCAATTAGTCCTTCTGACAATATTGTGAAGTATTATAATCAGGATTTTGGCAGATAAGGGCTCTGGGCTCAGAGAGGCTAAGTGTGACTTTTCTTGACCCAATCATTGAATGTAGCTTCCTTCTCATTTTCTAAAGCGTTCTCTACAAAGGCTGCCTGCCAGCAAATGTGGTGAAAAGCATGTACTTTTAGGTACACTTTCAGTTTCTCTTAAACAATGCTAAGACCTCAGAGGTACATGGGCTTTCACAACCGTATTACCTGTCCATCAATTTCTAATTCTTGACCTTTCATCCTTACTTCAAGTTGTGTGGTGGCAGGGTCTACTCAGAATGCTGACAGCGGAGGGGGGCTCCCATCACTTCAGCCACGAGGACCACTTCGCAACCCTGTATCTGCCCATCTATGCTCACACACATAAAGGCTCAGCTTCCTGTTTTCCTAATAATGGAAAACTATCTCTGACTCGATGAGAGCACACATAGCAATGCTGATCACTCAGGTGAACTAAAAAAACCAAGCTTCACTTGTTTAAAAGCAAAATAGACGCAAACGAGGCAATATTGGGATTAAAAAGGTCACTTTACACCGTCCTAAAACCTGCTATCAAAAAGCATTTGTTCAACAAATTGGGCGGTTTAGGAGTATGGCACACAGTGTTGACTGTGATATCAAGTGATTGACATTTTTGGCACAACGTACAAGAGAGAGGCGTGGAGCTAAACATTCGCCAATACCCTTTCCTGGAAAAATCAGCTGTGAGAGGAGCAACGGGGTATGTGTAAGGCTTTAAAAACCCGAAATCCGCTTTTCCCGGAGTAGGAACTTACAAGTTCATCAATGAGGATGGTATTGCGTTTTAGCTAGTCGACTTGGCTTTCTAATTAGCTCAAGAGAAAAGGTAATGCTCTCTTTCCTAGTGAGCTCCCTTTAGTTCTCTGGTATTTGCACATCTCACCTGGGCCTTTCGGTTGCAAATCCAACCTCCTTAAGGAGCCCTGCGAAAAAACAAGATCAATAAAAAAAAAAAAAAATCCAGCTATAAATCAGCCACGTGGAGCTACCGCTGCTGCAGCGGTAGCTGACTTCCTGGTTTGCTTCCTGCAAGCCTCACGCAGGGGGAGATCGGGCAGTGGGCTTCGGGAAAGGAAGGGCGACCTAAGTCCACCTGACGGGGCGACGGGTGGCAGCATCCCGGGAGGGCACGGGCGTCAAGGGCAGAGGCTTAGCCTACAATCTCTATAAAAGTTTGGGGCTCTGGAAGCTTTAGGAAGCCGAGCCGTAGGGCAAAGGCTCAGATCAGACCTGGGGGGAAAGTGTTAAGTTAGTTCCAAGGTTACTAGGGACTCGCAAGGGGGTTCTCGCGGTCGCGGGGGTGGGGTGGGGAATAAGAGGGGGGTGACTGCGGGCAGGTAGAAAGCGAGCCTGGAGAGCTAGCCCCTCCGGCCGGTCGGAGCTCTGCGGAGGCCGCCAGAGGGGAGGGGGGTGCGGCAGGCAGCAGAGCGCAGAGGCAGGCGCGGGGAGGGGGCGGAGGGGCGAGCCAGGGGAAGGTAAAGCCGAGGGGAGTTCCGGATCTGGAGCCGGAGAGGGCAGGCAGTGGGGAGGGCGGCGGGCGTAGCGATCCGGGTGGGGGAGAAAGGAGGAGGAGGAGGAGGAGGAGGAGGGCCGGGGGAGGGGGAAGAAGGGAGGGGAGAGCGGTGGCGGCGGCGGCGGCTGCGCCGGGCTGTGTGTCTCTCGCCGCCGGAGGAAGATGAGGCTGAAGATCGGGTTCATCTTACGCAGTTTGCTGCTGGTGGGAAGCTTCCTGGGGCTGGTGGTCCTCTGGTCTTCCCTCTCCTCGCGTCCCGACGAGCCGAGCCCGCTGAGCAGGATGAGGGTGAGTGAGTGACCCGCCCGGCCCCCCTCCGGCTGGCAGCGGCGACCTGCAACTTGTTTTGTTTGCGCGCGCGTGTGGCGGGAGCGAGGGGCGGCGGGGTCGCGGCCGCGTGGGCGCCGCAGCTCCGCAGGTGGTGCTGGCCCGGCGCCGGCCGATCGGGGGCGCCCAGCCCCACACCGCGGGGGACCCCCTCGGCCGCCGCCGCCGGCCCGCCCCCCTGGCCGCCCCTTCCTCCCGCGCGTCCCCGCCCCGGGTTCAGCGCCGTCACCCGCGCTGCGGCGCCGGCGGTGGCGGCAGAGGCGGACGCTCTAACGCCGGGACTGCCGGGACGGAATCGCGGGACGGAGTCGGGTCCCGGGAACCGAGGCTGCTCGGTGTCCGCCTCGGAGCCGCGCGACCCTCGCGTTGGCGGCCGGAGGACGCGGGGTTGGTCCCCGCTGCGGCCTGTGGCTCGCGCAGGCCTGAAGGAGGCGAGATGCCGCCGCCGCCGCCGTGGTCCGTTGGAGCAGGCCCCGCGGTGCAGCCTCCTCGGCGTTCCCTGCCCAACCCGGGTGCTCGCCCCCCGGGCGCCCCTAGCCTGTCCGCCTCGGGCTCCAACCCCCGGCGCCGCCTCCCCGCAACTCGCGTGGCCGGGAGCCGGGTGCGATGTGCCGCCGAGGCCTCTCCCGGCACCCGCTGTCCCTTTGATTCCCGGACACGGGGAGAACACGGGTCCCCACCCCGGATCGGCGTCCCCGCACCGGGACGCCAGGGAACCCCCGTCCACCCGCGGCGCTCCCGGGTTGTCCTGCGGATCCGGAGCGGGCTCCTCTCTCCCCGGCCCTGGGCTGGGCTGCTCCGGCCGAGGACCTAACTTGTGCCGGCTCCTGGCTGCCCCTCGCTGCCTGCACCGTGAGCCTGGGAGGCGCGCTCCGCCGGGACGCATCCGTCTGCCGCCCTCGGCGCTGGTGTTAAGCCTTGACAGTGCCTGGCTTTGAGGGTTTAGTCAAGCTGCTTGGAACTTTAGTTACCGGGACCCGGCCACTGCGCTACTGTCACCCAGCAGTTGGCGGCGCGGAACTGCACCGCTCGCACCTCCCCGGCTTGACCCACCCCCCACCCTCGGCCAGACGAACCGTTACAGACCCTTCGAGTTCCTCACTCCCACCCCCCACCAGCCCTCCATGCCCGCTGTCGAGTTCGGGGTCAGACGCAGGAGGGAGGAGTGGAAGACACCGAGGGTTCCGGGACACAGGCTGAGCAGCCGTGGGAGGAGTCTGTAGTCAGGTGCCTTTTGCCAAAGCAGCTTTGCATCTTCGTGATGTACTTTATTAACTTTACTTTTGGAAAGTTAGCGTCAGGGAATTGAGTGTAAAAGCTTGTGACTGTCCTAGAAGACTCCTAGGAGGAGGTTCCACTCATCAGTTGCTGCTTATGTCACAACATCATCTGTAAATTGGAGGACCTGAGGCTCACTTTACCAAAGTGGAGTCCCATCTAAGTCACCTAAATTGATAAAAAACAATTTTTCCTTTTCAGTGTGTTTTGAGTGATGGCTGATTTTTTTAAAATCGTTTCGCTCTTAAAGTGATTTGGTGAGATGAATATTGAAATTTATTTTTTTCTCAAGTCGTCAAATACCGTTTTATATAAAAGCGCTGTGTAGTGCTGGAAATTCTAGCCCCCATTTTTCTGAGAAGGAAATTGAAAATCTGTCGAAGCTAGTAGTATTCAAAATGTCCTGTAGCTCTGACCCTTTTAAATTGGGCCCTGCAAAGTGAGGCCTACCTGTAATCCCAGCGTTTGGGAGGCTGAAGAAGGTCACTCTTGGGCGTATATCAAGTTCAAGGCCAGCTGGGGCTACATGAGATTCTAGTCTCAAGAAGCTGGGCATGTCAGAACATCTTTCTAGATGGCTTATTAGTTTTGATATGTAATAAACTATAGTGCCCACCTGTCTATGAGATGAGCATAGCTTATTTTTTTGTTGTTGTTGTTCGCTGTATTTGATTAGTTTATCAGGGGATCTTATAACGTGCCATTTCTATACTTTGCCAACGATAGACCAAGGTTTACCAGCACAGTAATAAAAAGAATAGAAGCTGCTAATGGATTACCATCAAATAGTAACCTAAGGTGTCAGATGTCATAAGAGTATAAACCAGGGACTGTTACTTCCCTATAATAAAAGCCAACCTAAGGCTTCTTGAGAACCAGTGTTGGGGGGACAGGGAAGTCCAGCTAGGGAGGACTCAGGTGCTTACGACTGGGTTTCCTCTGCCTTGTGCGTTTACATTGGGCCTGCGGACACTTCCATCCATTGTGAGAAACTGCTGCTCTTGGATGTGGTCCATGCATGGCCTCTCCTGATCCCTCCAGAAGGCCTGAGCTAGGCCAGACTGACCTTAGCAAATGAGATGCCCCAGCCACCACCAGCCAGGGCCGCGTCTGTCTTGTACTGCTGCTATTACTGGAACTAAAGAGTCCTTTGAAGATTTCTTTGCTTTCATTTTGCGTAACAAGTGAGGTGAAGACAAAAATCCCCTCTTCCTTCTGAGCCTCTTGCTGTTTCTCTGGGGTGAATGGTATTTAAAATGACCTTACCACTTGCATTTGATTTATTTTATTTTATGTTCTGAGGCAGGATCTCTTGCAGCTCAGGCTGGCCTTGAGCTCTGTATGTAATGAAGATGACCTCGAAGCCTTTGATCTTTCTGACTCTACCTCCTAAGTGCTGGGATCACAGTCATGTGTCACCAGGCTGGGTTTGTGGTGCCCTGGGGAATCTTTGTGCATGGCAGGCATACATTTTGTCAACTGAGCTATATTCACAACTATTATATGATTATTTTTGTTGATATATTCAAACATCTGTGAATGCCTGCTGTATACTGAGTATGGTGCTAACTATTAAGGAAACACTTCTTGCTTGTGGCCAGCAGGGCATAACGAAGGTCAAGCCCACAGGAACCTGGACTAAAGGGACAAGAGACACAAAGAACAAAGAGCAGACAGCAAGACAGGCTTTCTGCAGAATTTTATTTTCTCACAAGGATTCTTATAGTCGGGGGGGCTAGGTGGGAAACGCTGTTGCTTTGAAGTAGGGAGCTTGGTCTCTGCAGGGTATGTTCCAAGGACACAAGTCTGTGGCTGGGGGAGTCTAGACTGCAGGCCTTGAAAGTATGCTGTACAGGAAGATAAGCTGACCCAGAGACATAGAAACTTAGCTAAGTGTTAGTCTCTAAGAATATAGTAGGAATACTAAAATGGCTTTTATTATGTTATCCTTATTTAGGGCCCTCTATAGCTGGCAATATTTTCCAGAGGTCCTATATACCAATGATCGCTCCCAGCAATTATGGGTCTTGCAACCTAGTGAGAAAAACACATGTTAGTCAAGGCTTCACAAATACACAAATACCATTGTGCTCTGGAAGAAACATGAATATGTACTTGTATTATGAAGGAAAGCCTTAGGAGGTAAGAACAGAGAGGTTTGAACATTCGAGTCTTATTTAGTAACCAACTTCTGAGCTGAAATCTAAAGATTTGAACAAGGGTTGTTGTTGAGCTGGGGGTAGGACAGAGCCATCCCCAAAGGAGCCACATATGACAAGTTTCTGGGACACGAGGTAACAAGGATAAGGTGAGAAACTGGAAGGCTAATGTAGGGGAAACATGGAGAGAGTAGACAGAGTGATACTACGCAGGGCTAGATCTTGTGGACCATGCTATGAGTTTGTGTCAGTGGGAAGCTACTGAGGGATGTAGGCAGGAGAAAGGCATGGCGATATTTGTGTTTTGGAAAGATCGTTGTAGCTCCCTGTAGGAAGTATGCATGTGCTTTTGTAGAGCAGAAAACAGGAGTCTCTTGATAATAGCCCGGGTCACATTGTTTATGCAGGTGGCTGTTGAGAGATGAAGTAAATTGATTCAAGAGCAGCTGAAGATGAAAAGGGCACCAGGATTTGGTGAATGGATGTGGAGGGGACAGTTTCAAGAAGTCTACGATGACAACTGTTTGTTCCATTAGGACAAGTTAAGAAGACAAGATTTATACATTCTATTTGTAGTTTATAAGAAGGTCATTTTAAAATGGATATTTTTAAGGTCATCATTTATTAAGATCATTTGTTTAGACTTGGAAAGTGCAGAACATCCTTTTAATTAAATAAAGCAAATTGTTTCAGGGTGACACCATTTCCCCCAGGTGTTACCCCCGACTGTTTGATGTTGAATCGTATAGGCTCTGGAAAGAGAAGTTTGTAGTGGAAATGTTGACAGACAGTTAGCTTTAGAGTTTCTATTCAAATGTTCAGCACTGAGGAGACCTGTGCACAACCTGATCTTTATGTGCATGCGTGCGTGCGTGCGTGCGTGCGTGCGTGCGTGTGTGTGTGTGTGTGTGTGTGTGTGTGTGTGTGTGCGCGCGCGCGCAAAGGTCAAGCCACCTAAATTCAGGGCATTAATGATAGGACCAATTTAGCAGTTATTCCTTTGCAAGAGGATTTATGTGATAAACACGAAGAGAAGATGAAAGAAATCTAGCTCAGTTGAATATTCCTGCTAGATTGGCTAATCTCAGCCATTTCACCTCAGTGGTGATGCGCTTCACCTGGAGACTTTGTCTAAGTACAGATGCCATTTGCTTGAAACTGTCACTTAGCAAAAGCACAAAGCTTTCAGTGGCCTTCTCCTAGTTACCCAGACCACAGGCCTTAGGAGGTCTTTGTTCCCTTGACCCCTCGCCATCTCTTACTGTCCAGCTCCCAGACAGGAAGAAAAACCCCAGGTCATTAAGTCTAAGAAATCCGAGTTCACAGATTACCAAAAACCTGCCCCCTCCCTCACTCTGTGTGTGTGTGGGGGGGGGTGGAGTCAAAGCCTTTTTTTACTTTTTTTTTTTAGCTTCAGAACCCTTCTTGTTCCCTGATCGTAGAGTATCTCTCCTCTCTCCTTGGTGCTGAATTTACGTGAACTGACGATGATGATGGTGGTGATGATGATGATGATGATTTTAT